GTGGTGATGGGTATTACTAAGGCTGTGTTCTGTGTGTAAGGGTGGGGGGATGACAGTGGTGATGGGTATTACTAAGGCTGTGTTCTGTGTGTAAGGGTGGGGGGATGAGAGTGGTGATGGGTATTACTAAGGCTGTGTTCTGTGTGTAAGGGTGGGGGGATGACAGTGGTGATGGGTATTACTAAGGCTGTGTTCTGTGTGTAAGGGTGGGGGGATGAGAGTGGTGATGGGTATTACTAAGGCTGTGTTCTGTGTGTAAGGGTGGGGGGATGACAGTGGTGATGGGTATTACTAAGGCTGTGTTCTGTGTGTAAGGGTGGGGGGATGAGAGTGGTGATGGGTATTACTAAGGCTGTGTTCTGTGTGTAAGGGTGGGGGGATGAGAGTGGTGATGGGTATTACTAAGGCTGTGTTCTGTGTGTAAGGGTGGGGGGATGACAGTGGTGATGGGTATTACTAAGGCTGTGTTCTGTGTGTAAGGGTGGGGGGATGAGAGTGGTGATGGGTATTACTAAGGCTGTGTTCTGTGTGTAAGGGGGGGGGGGGGGATGAGAGTGGTGATGGGTATTACTAAGGCTGTGTTCTGTGTGTAAGGGTGGGGGGATGAGAGTGGTGATGGGTATTACTAAGGCTGTGTTCTGTGTGTAAGGGTGGGGGGATGAGAGTGGTGATGGGTATTACTAAGGCTGTGTTCTGTGTGTAAGGGTGGGGGGATGACAGTGGTGATGGGTATTACTAAGGCTGTGTTCTGTGTGTAAGGGTGGGGGGATGAGAGTGGTGATGGGTATTACTAAGGCTGTGTTCTGTGTGTAAGGGGGGGGGGGATGAGAGTGGTGATGGGTATTACTAAGGCTGTGTTCTGTGTGTAAGGGTGGGGGGATGAGAGTGGTGATGGGTATTACTAAGGCTGTGTTCTGTGTGTAAGGGTGGGGGGATGACAGTGGTGATGGGTATTACTAAGGCTGTGTTCTGTGTGTAAGGGTGGGGGGATGAGAGTGGTGATGGGTATTACTAAGGCTGTGTTCTGTGTGTAAGGGTGTGGGGATGAGAGTGGTGATGGGTATTACTAAGGCTGTGTTCTGTGTGTAAGGGTGGGGGGATGAGAGTGGTGATGGGTATTACTAAGGCTGTGTTCTGTGTGTAAGGGTGGGGGGGGTGAGAGTGGTCATGGGTATTACTAAGGCTGTGTTCTGTGTGTAAGGGTGGGGGGATGAGAGTGGTGATGGGTATTACTAAGGCTGTGTTCTGTGTGTAAGGGGGGGGGGGATGAGAGTGGTGATGGGTATTACTAAGGCTGTGTTCTGTGTGTAAGGGTGGGGGGATGACAGTGGTGATGGGTATTACTAAGGCTGTGTTCTGTGTGTAAGGGTGGGGGGATGAGAGTGGTGATGGGTATTACTAAGGCTGTGTTCTGTGTGTAAGGGGGGGGGGGATGAGAGTGGTGATGGGTATTACTAAGGCTGTGTTCTGTGTGTAAGGGTGGGGGGATGAGAGTGGTGATGGGTATTACTAAGGCTGTGTTCTGTGTGTAAGGGTGGGGGGATGACAGTGGTGATGGGTATTACTAAGGCTGTGTTCTGTGTGTAAGGGTGGGGGGATGAGAGTGGTGATGGGTATTACTAAGGCTGTGTTCTGTGTGTAAGGGTGGGGGGATGAGAGTGGTGATGGGTATTACTAAGGCTGTGTTCTGTGTGTAAGGGTGGGGGGATGAGAGTGGTGATGGGTATTACTAAGGCTGTGTTCTGTGTGTAAGGGTGGGGGGATGACAGTGGTGATGGGTATTACTAAGGCTGTGTTCTGTGTGTAAGGGTGGGGGGATGAGAGTGGTGATGGGTATTACTAAGGCTGTGTTCTGTGTGTAAGGGGGGGGGGGGGATGAGAGTGGTGATGGGTATTACTAAGGCTGTGTTCTGTGTGTAAGGGTGGGGGGATGAGAGTGGTGATGGGTATTACTAAGGCTGTGTTCTGTGTGTAAGGGTGGGGGGATGAGAGTGGTGATGGGTATTACTAAGGCTGTGTTCTGTGTGTAAGGGTGGGGGGGGGATGAGAGTGGTGATGGGTATTACTAAGGCTGTGTTCTGTGTGTAAGGGTGGGGGGATGACAGTGGTGATGGGTATTACTAAGGCTGTGTTCTGTGTGTAAGGGTGGGGGGATGAGAGTGGTGATGGGTATTACTAAGGCTGTGTTCTGTGTGTAAGGGTGGGGGGATGACAGTGGTGATGGGTATTACTAAGGCTGTGTTCTGTGTGTAAGGGTGGGGGGATGAGCGTGGTGATGGGTATTACTAAGGCTGTGTTCTGTGTGTAAGGGTGGGGGGATGAGAGTGGTGATGGGTATTACTAAGGCTGTGTTCTGTGTGTAAGGGTGGGGGGATGAGAGTGGTGATGGGTATTACTAAGGCTGTGTTCTGTGTGTAGGGGTGGGGGGATGAGAGTGGTGATGGGTATTACTAAGGCTGTGTTCTGTGTGTAAGGGTGGGGGGATGAGAGTGGTGATGGG